GAGAGAGAAAGAGTGACAAAGAGAAAGAGGGAAAAGCAGAGAGAAACTCGGCTTTTAGCGCGTTCCTCTTCTTTGCTACAGAGAGCCTCGGCTACGGTAAGTTAATCCTACAGAACGGTGCTTCGCACGATCCGCTTTAATGCTTTAAGCCACCCGTGGTAAAGCCTCGTTAGAAAGCTCGCGAACGCGTACGCCTCGCAATGCGGCGCGCAATGTTCCTTTACAGATTGCCGCCCATGCCTCTCGACTTCGTGATGGAAGAAAGGAATCGCCGGGATGTAAGAAGGTACGCGGGACCGGGGAAAAACCCGATTTATCCAATGAGATACGGTCCTTACCGCGTATTTTCGCCTTCCTCAATCTTATTTTTAGCCTCAAGTAATATTTCTGATTAAAATAAATCGCGTCAAATAATATTTTTGAGTAAAATAAATCGCGTTGCGGCTTACGCATTTCTTTCAATTGTCACACTCATAACTAATTTCAATTTTATTTATTACAAATTATCACAAATCATATCTTATTGTCTCCAATTTTATATTTATTGTTTTTAGTTTTCAATTGCATTTTTTAATTTATATCATTGATAGCAATTATAATTTGCGCGAGCATGTACGTATTGCAATTAATCTGTAATCTTGATATTTATAATGATTCTTTATATTCTATACTTTTCTATACTTTTATGATATTATTCTTTACTCGTGTTTTATTTGACGATATTAATGCATCCTTGTTTTCTTCTAACTTTTATGATGAAAATGAGGAAAATTGGAACTTGTACGAGTGTAAGGGAAAAAGCAAAAATTGAAGGAAACCTTATTGACTTTGATAGATCCGTTGTCTATGATGTTATCACATAGATTGATTTCTCATCTTTCCTCTTTTATTAATTTCTCAATTTTTGACAAACGAAAATAGTCATTATTTTTCTAGCAAATCTTCCTATGAATCTCGAATAATCTTGGCAATATTTTATATAATAACGTTGCACAGAATAATGCTATGTAATTTTTTTCTTTCTTTTTATCATTATTTTCTGATATATGTATATCACTATAACTTTTTTCAATTGCACCATCGAACGAAAGGTGTAAAAACTAGAAGATAAGAATTTGAAGAGAAAACAAAAGTGCAAAGTGGTGGCAATACAATTTACTCTGAAGATTGCTAGTAATATTGTGGAATTGTCAACCTTAATATACTTTGGTACAGCGCGAAGGTACGCCAATGAAAGCTGCAATTCACATTCTCGTAAGAGTGTAGAGTTTAGGAAAAAGAGCAAGACAGATAGAGAGAGAGAGAGAGAGAGAGAGAGAGAGAGAGAGATGTTACCGCTCGTTCTATTAACATTTAAACTCGTTCATCACTCGGAAATACGATTCGATACGATTCGATCAGGACCGATCAAGTTAGTATCGAGAAAGCCGTTTTGTCAGGGCTTTCAACCACACGAAACGATCTGACCGCATACATGAGATAAATAAAGTATTATTCGCGATTATTATGTGGAACATCCTGTCGCATTTGATGACATGCTCGCCTCTATTGATAGGATGTTACAATTATTGCGGAACACGTTCGTACGCCTCTCTAATATTTAATAGTGTTATTCAATAGATCTACCAAATATCATAAATGTGATAGTCAAATATAATAAATATATAAATTCCTCTTTTTTTATAATTTTCTATTCATTTCTAAGAATTCTTTAAAATTTACCATATCTTTATTTGCATCTAGATACATGATACACATGTTAATATAAAATTAATATAAAAATTTTAATTTTTAATTGTTTAACTATTAATTGTTAACTTTTAATATTAAAATATTTTAATATATAAAAAAAATTAGATAAAGAATTCATTGATAAAGATAAATGTGAAAGACTTTGTATATTTTTGATAACTAAAAAAGTAAGCTTTATAATATTTCATATCTGACACACATGATATTTCCTATTAAATATGTTTTTCAAACGGATAACTGCAAATGTCATTTATGAGTTACATTTTGAACTGTAGAAAATAAACACCAGCAAAAATAAACTACACGATAAAACTTTCAATTTGCAAAGCTTGGAGATTTATAAAGTTAAAGCTGGATTTCGAGAAATCTCAAGAAATTTAATAAACAATTTTTAATTTTTCAAGATTCTAAATTACATTTCTTGAGATTTCTCAAAATCCAGCTTTAACCGACTTATAAATCTCCAAGCTTTGCAAATTGAAAGTTTCATCGTGCAATTTATTTTTGCTGACGTTTCTTTTTATATATACA